TCTCATGCCAGCGGATGTTAACTCTTACTGTTAACATGTTAACTCTTATTGTTAACATGTTAACTCTTAACAGTAAGAGTTAACATGTTAGCCGTAATAGTTAACATATTAACCGTAAGAGTTAACATGATAACCATGATCGTCGCCGGCCACACGAAGTTCCTCGGGACGACGTCGGCGACGAAGTTAGGGAGGGGGTAGAGGGGCACCGGAGGAGGAGGAGGGTGGTGTTGGGGAGGTGCAGGCGGGGGAGGGAGGCGGCGGCGCCTTGGAAGGGCTGGCGACAGAGCGGAGGAAGGAGGCGGCCGCCTGGAGGCGGGACACCAGGGACGGGAGGAGGGAGAGGACGAGAGGTGTCGGCGGAGGGGTAAATCAGATTTTGAAGAGGTTGCATTGGAAATTGGGATGAGGGGTCATGGACAATAATTTTTTCAAAAAAAAAAACTGCCAGCACATTGTTCGAAATTAGAGAGACCGGGACCACATTGAAAGTTGGATTTTAGGTCTGGAAGTAACTTTTCCCAAGATTGATGGACCTAATCTATCAACTCCTGCCTTTTGCGCTCGCGCGGTGAACCGCCGAGCCACCCAACTCCGCCAGAGTTGGCGAACAGGGGCCAGCGCCGGCCCCAGCCTGTGGCCGGCCCAACTGCCCCTGGTACCCAACTCCTTGGCGAGTTGCGGTGTGCTCGCGGTTCACCCGCCGAGCACAAAAATCTTTTTCGGACTAATTGCTTTAGAAGTTTGATAAAGCTTCTCCATGTGTTTAGTGTCTTGATTAAACATTGCTTCATCACTATGCTCCTCCTCTTTGGATAAGTCGTCGTTGTAAGGTCATATCCAGTTCCAATTCTCCCCATATAATGGTACTTAACAAGCTTAATATTATAACTTAACTATAATATCACCAATAAGCAATTTAGTAACCGATAATGTGGTTGTAAGAATCATCAATCAAAACATAGGCCTAAAACAGTGTTGCCGCCATTTGAGATGTCACCTGAAGTTTGAGCCCTCTTGAATGATTTAACCACTATATCATGAATGAATGTGTGTTATGCATTGTGACCCCAAGGGGATTATGAATGAGTTTTGATTTGATCCATATTCGATTAGATATCGTTCATAACACTGTTGGATATTGTTGATGAGCCACAGCTCAGTAATATTGGGATAGTGCCGTAGACATACCAGATATACATAGTTTTCATTGAGGTGAATCGTTGATGAGCCCTCAGTTAAATCTACTGAGGTTGTGCGTCGATATTCCATAATGTAAGCCATCTGGTCGGTTTTAGGAGGCTTTGATCTAGCGTCCGTTCTCGCACTAGGCGTGCATGAGGCTCGTGATCCTATTTCTAGGATATCCTAATTTGGTACTCACCGTCCCGCACGTCATGTTAAACGTACTGAGAAACCACGATGAAACTAATGAGCCCGTGTACCATAGTTGCAGATAACCTATGGTAGTCCGTTCACTGAGACAATTACTTGATAGCCGTTAAGTTAATGGTAGATGTGGTTAGGGATACGACTACCCCTTCACTGAACTATATGAACTGAGATAATGTTACTTTTAAAAGTATACAAATTATGTGTTGGTATTTTATTTCTATCTCCCCAGTGAATAGTGGAAGATATTAATGAAATACGATGTGTTGATGTCTTATTTCTTTTAACCGTCTTCTTTTACTCTTGTTGGCATCAATGATTAGAGATTCAAACTTGAGACATACATGACGTATATATAGAGGATTTCCTTGTTGGAGTTATTCGCTTGACCGTACCAATCTCGTGTTGTGGATTTTCTAATTTATTGGTTTCATTAGATTATTTTTCTTTAGTTGGTATTAATTTAGATAATCTACAATTTGAGGCCTTAATAGTATATACATGAGGGTTCCGTTATTTGGTAATTTCCTTCCGACCGATACTACATCCTGTGTTGTAGGTTCTAAATGTTAGATCCCACGTTAGATACAGGAAAAAATAATCTAGGTAGACTAATGCTTTAATAGATAGAGCCATTCACTGCCGTCTACAGCTTTCCCCCTGGGATGGATGGAGGTAATTTTGCTGTTAGTGCTCTGATGCTCTGTTGTTATTCTTGTTTTGTTGTTTCTCTTCTTTTAAGATGTATAAAGGTACGGAAGCCGCAGGATGGACGGAAGTTATTTTGCAATAGTCACTCTGTCAACCATGATTTTAAGGGAGACTCCACGGTTAGATTATATTTTATTTCAGAACCTTTAAGAGTTTTATTCTCGATTTTGTAAACGACAATAGTGCCTTAGTGTGATTTCTAGTTGATTCATGTTAACTTTCATTTTGTCAGTTACCCAGAGGTATTTAACATTAAGATGATTCTTTTTATTTAATGAATTTCTTTCACCCGATTCATGTCTATTGTTTCCTATTCCTTATTTTGCATGTTTTGTACATGCACTTCTTTTTTGGTTCTACTAGAGTATAATTGCGTAGTGGATTGGTGAAACGTGTTTATACCACAGTATGGGCGCATGGAAGGTTTGCATTTCTAGTTTTTACCTTTGGACCTGTAACTTTGTGTGAACCTAGGGGCGTCATACTTTCATTTGCAAATCTCTTGTGTTTGAGTTTATTGTTTTCAAAAGAGCATTAACTTTCATTTTGCTTTCACTATTTCAAGGCCCCAACATTCAAGCTTCAATTAAATCTTTTCCTCGGCCATCAGGCCTATTGTAACAGAGAGAGTTCTCTTCGATTTTCTACCAATTGTGAGCTTTGATCTATTGGAGATCTATTGTGTATGGGTTGTGAGATCCTCGGTGAGATCGTTGTGTAGAAAGTTTCCAGCTTCCCAAAACGGTAGTGTGTTGGATTTCTCCTCGAGAGGTGGGGAGCCGTGGGACGTAGGTTTAGCCAAACCGAACGTCATGGACTACCGCGTGTTTCATTAAAATTGGCTTACTACTCCTCTAATGCTACTCCTCTTTCATTTGTCTTCATTTTATTTTGTGTGTTTATTGGAAATATTTAAATTGCAATTATTTATTTGGTCCATAAACCCTTCGCTCCCTCCTAGGGCCTTTCACTAACATATATTTTTTAGGAGGTCTTGATGGCCAAGATAATTCAAAAGATTTATCCGATATACAGTACAGGCATGATGGATAATTCAATAACC